GTGACAAGACGACTGATGCCGATTCACAAAGAAAACAATACAGAACATTTTGAGACGTGGTAGACACACTTGAGTAAATCTTGACGGGGACTAAGGAGCATAACATTAAGTAGGCCACGTTTTTGCTGGAGCCTAACAAAACGTATATACAGGATGCGGTGTGTAAATTGTCGTCAATTTATATTTTCAATTTCGTGCATGTGTTATTTGTTTTTGATTTTGTCGACTGCACAGTAGAGTAGGGTCAGTTGGGCACCGTCTGTGGTAAAAAGAGCACCATGACGCAAATTTACTCCGCCAGAAATTTGGTAACAGCATGCTGTACTGCATGGCATTCGCACCGGAAGCCCCAACACGAACATTTCAGAGCGTTTAGGTGTCAATCTGTGGAGAGTGCAGAGGATTTGATAAGAGTTGGATGAGTCTAATGGTGATTACGAATGTAGGTCATCTCGGGAAACTCACTATGATCGTTCTTATGAGAAAAGAACTCCAGATTTGTTGGTTAGTGCCACTAACTAAACACGGAAGCCCACATCAAGTGCCTAGAGGAAGCAGTGCTGTCCTGAGTCAAAATGGTAGCTGCTGGAAGAGCCTATGTCTGGCAACAGGACTCTGTACCATGCCACACAAGCAGTAGAACCCATTCATGGCTGTAAGACAATTTCTGCGAACACATCCCTATTACTTTCCACAGCGCCGCAGACTCAACACGGAGATCTCCTTGAGGAGACAACGCTACCCTGTGTAAAGAGGGCGGCTGCTGGAAGATACTATGCCTGGCAACAGGACTCTGTACCATGCCATAAAAGTAGGAGATCCCATTCATGGCTGTAAGACAATTTCTGCGACCACCCCTATTACTTCCCATTAGGCCGCAGACCCAACAGGGAGGCCTCCTTGAGGAGATAGTGCTGCCCTGTGTAAAGAGAGTGGCTGTTTGAAGACCCTATGTCTGGCAGTCGGACTCTGCAACATGCCAAACAAGCACATGAAGATATTCATGGCTGTCAGACAATTTCTGTGACCACATCACCCCTTAAATCTGACAACCTAACTCCCCAGACGGCACCCCCCTTTGATTATTATGCGTGGGGCGCAGTTGAGCGAGAGACCAACAAAACATCTTGTAATACTAAAAAGGAACTGAAGGCAAGGATTATGGCAGCATTCACCAACTTAAACAAGGTGACCGTCCGGAAGAGATGCAGGAGATTCTGAAATCGTCCGGTGGCCGTGGTTGAATCCATTGGCGAATTTAATTAATAAATTTAATCTTTTCTATTTCAAGATATTTTTATGTAATTTTGGTAAATATATCTGTTAAAATGAGATGTCAGTGTTATTTTCATTTTTGCTTAATTTAGACGACAATTCATCCATCGCACCCTGTAGGTATTTATTCATTTAAATTTTCAATGACACAAGGCGAATGGAGACTCCAAACTAATGAACTATGAGACTAGCTTGCAAATGACAATGAAGCGCTTGGAGCTTAATTTCCACCATATCTGTCAACTTATTATGACCCGGATTTAACCGTATTTGGCGCTATATGATCACATTTTATTTTTAAAAAACGTCTGCAAGTAACCCTTAGTGCCTTGTATGCATAAGAAATACTTTACTCTAATATTAAACATGGACGATAATTTTGACCTGATGATTACTACAAATTAACCTGACTTCATAATATCATTTATTCAAACAAAATTATTATTATTATCTCCTCTTCTTTCGCGCGTTTTTTTAAGCATCATCTCTTGCATTATTGGAGTTCTCTATCAAGAGGGATAACATCAAATCGATATCAACTTTCTCAAAATATTTGCAGGGCAATGCAATGCAGACTTCTGATGCTATCGGATGTTAGGCTTTATTAGAAGTAGCATTAGTACTAGAAATACAGGGTGTCCATAAAGTTCGTGTGCACTTTAAAAAATTTATAATTTTATTTGTATTTGCGATAGAAATAAATTGTAAAAAGTATTGGAAGTAAATCTATATTTTTGAAAGTTTTATTGAAAATTTTATTTAGGTTTCCACATGTCCTTCATCATTAGCAATACAAAGGATAATACGATTTTCAGTTCACGGAAAACATTTGCCAACTGATTTACAGTAATGCCTGAAATCACATTAGTTATTTTAGCTACACTTAAAAGTAGGTACATTAAACGTTATTTTTAAGTTTATTTTTCGCAAATACAAATTTATTTTTTATGCACATGAAATTTATCTGCAAATAGCAGCAGTAATAAATAAAGAAATAATCGTTTTTTCAAAAGTTGATCCATCATAACGAAATTTATCTACACGTTTATCATTAAATAAAAAAACTAACAGTTGTACAATTAATAAATTTAGTTTTTATTAAGTAAATATTAGATTTTGTTTTCTGTTGCAATGTTTTATTAAATTTTTTATTGAATGTTCACAAGATAAAAAGCCGAAGAACTAAGACATAAGACGAGGAAGTAAGGGCATATCATGGGGATATGTAGGATAGATAAGTGTTTAACCTTGACTTCGAGAGGTTAAGATTATAGTGATCAGGGAAGCGTCCCCTCTGGAATCTGTATCGGTTTTGAGGAAGAAGCACTCTGAGTGAACTTCCTTCTTACAAATGGAGTGCAAACGGAATAAGAATGATTCGAACCCGTATACGTGGCACGGCGTGTACTAGCTGTAAATATCTGAACCGGTGGAAAGGATGATGGCTCGTCTGAGTATTTGGAATGGAAATAACGACAGAGTAGCGATAGGCGTTCGACGAACCTGTAGTCGAAAAAGGATCTGTAAAATTGAAAATAAAATAGAGGCGGCTGGATTGAGACAGCAAAAATGCCACCCAAAAGCTAAGCAAAGTATTAAGAAGCAGGAAAATCTCGTTAGAAACAACAACAAAAGGGTAGAAAAATGTTACGGTCCTCTTATACGGCAAGGACTGCTGTAAAATCTCATCACAGATAAAGAGTTTGAGACAACGGAAACTTGGTTCTACCGAAGGATACTGAAAATATCATGGATCAAACATGTGAGCAATGCGGAAGTTTTAGTGGAAATGGGAATAAAATGAACACTTACAATTAACATTAGAAGGAGACATAATAACTGAGACATCCGGAAGAGGCACGGCACGTGGATTTAGAACAATCTACACCGTGGGACGAAATAAAGGCTTGAAATTCCAGCCGGGGAATAGAACGGCCAAAATGTTGTGAATATGGTAATGAAGATGATGATAACAGTCCGAATAATTTAAATAATCACAATACGTCATCTCAGAATTATAGATAGATATTAGAAAGAGAGTTGATATTTCTAGGACACAAAATGAGAAAATAGGGTTTAGAAAATTTGACACTCACGGGATATATTAAAGGCAAGGGGATAGAGAAAAGCAGCACAGAAACTAGCTAAAGAGCTTGTGCAAATTATTGGCAGAACAGAAATTAGGAATATAATAAAATAGCAAATTTAAATTATATTTATTATTTTTTATTATTTGTTAATCTTTTATTGTGCCTAATAGGATCTAGAGTCAGAACGAATCGAAATAACGTTTATTACAGTATATTGGTTATAATTGGTATTTTTTATTATCACGTATTGTTATTAATCTTTAATAATATCTACAAGAAGAACAAATGCAAATAACGTTTATTATAGTACATTGTTATAATTGTTATATTTTATTATTAAGTGTTGCTATTAATTTTTAATATGATCTACAGAATGGACGAATCCAAATAACGTTTATTACAGTACATCTTTATATTTTGTTATTAGGTATTGTTATTAATCTTTAATAAGATCTACAGGAAGAACGACTCTTTTATTTGTCACATAAACTTTATTGCAGTATGATGTCATAATGGTTGAATTATATTCTTAGTTATTTTTGTTAATTATCTTTACGAATAAAATTCACGGGGGAAACTAGTATTCTATATCACATTACTTTTAATACAGAATATTGTTATAATGGCCCCATTCTATTAATAGTCACATAAACTTTATTGTAGTATAATGTCATAATGGTTGAATTATAATCTTAGTTATTGTTGTTAATTATCTTATCTTTACGGATAAAATTCACGGGAGAAACGAGTATTCTATATCACATTACTTTTAATATAGAATATTGTTAAAATAGCCTCATTCTATTAATAGTCATTTTTTATTATCGATGACTGCGCACAATTTATTAATTAAAACTTTAATGAATATATGCATTTATAACGAAAAATAAGTACAGCATCTTCCGTATTTTCTGTCACCCGCTTGTGATCTTGAAACATCAGCCGCGGATAACTGTGAACTACTGTCACTATTGTGGAATGAAAATATTTTAAAAGTTGTGAGAAAGAATGATTCCAGAAATTACTTGCATTGTTTAAAAAAAAATGTCCACGCTAGTAGATACCCGCTCATGGGTTAAGACTTGAACAATTTTAGTTGAAGAATTTTTATTTTTGAAACACGAATCGCATCACTCGTGCGTCTTTATAGAGCGTAACCTTTTTGTAAGAAGTTGCTTATATATATATATATATATATATATATATATATATATATATATATATATATATATATATATATATATATATATATATATATATATATATATATATATATGAATGTATGTATGTATTCCTGGGGAGGAATCGGGAAGTGAGGCGAACAAGTCCCCAACTGTTGTAACATTCCTGCGAATGACATCTTCGATTATTTTTTATGTCTTGATTCTTTTCTGAACTCTTCGCGATCCAAAAAGCCATCGCTTTTCAATGCCTCTTTCATCTTTTATCCATCGCCTGAACTTTTTTCTTGCCCTCCCAAAATTACTTCCTATCTATTCTCACGCACAAAACGGAAGCAACATTTTTTTCTTGCCGCACCCAACACCGCTTCCTCCATGCTTCACTTTTTGCTAATTTCCCCTCTTCTCTTTTCATTTTGGAACAACTACATATTTGTACCTAATTTCGACTTAGGATTAACGGCATCGGTGAATATCTATCTCATTCTGTAACTTTCTTTCTTTTGATCTATCTATCTATCTATCTATCTATCTATCTATCTATCTATCTATCTATCGAAATTGTTTCAAAATTATCTCGTCATATAAATATCTAGCTACCTTTTGCATGTCCATGTCTATCTATCTATCTATCTATCTATCTATCTATCTATCTAAATCGCTTCAGAAATATACAGTCATCTAAATAGCCACCTTATCCCTGTCCATGTTCATTTCTTTTTTCTTACTTTCTATTTAAATAGTTTCAACCTTATTTAACCAACTAAATAACTAGCTACCCTATCCATGTCAATTTATATCTATCTATCTATCTATCTATCTAAATATGTTTATAGTAATAAGAATAACAAAATAACAATAACAAATAATAATAAAATAACAGTATTAATATAATTATGATAATACAATAATAATAATTCATATAGGAAGAGGAAAAAAATATATATATATAGATAGATAGATAGATAGATAGATAGTAGGAAAGAAAATTTGTAAACTGCTAGGATTTTTCGAATACTTGGAAAATATTAATACAATTTCTAGCGAATAAAATAAACGGATAATTTATTTAATGTTTTTTCCTTTATTCTAAATTTCATCTTCAATACAACCTCGAAAAGAGCAGCACGAATTACTTGGCCATCTTGGCATTCTCATCATTGCGGTTGCGTGCGTGTTCAGGTCCAATCTGGAAGAAGGTAAGGTATCCGCTCGCTGTAAATCACCAAAATTAGCTTTGGGAACATCTGCCTCTATTGGTTGGAAGCTCCGTCCTTGTTTATACAGAATAATTAATGTCTTGTCTTTGAGCGATGGCAAGATATTTTGCATCAGTATTTTATTAGTCATCAATAGCCATTTTTCTCTAAGCCTCTAGTGGAAGTCAGTTGATTTAATTCCGTTGTAACCCACCGTCGCCAACACCTAGGCGGAATATTTTACATTGCTCCGACATTTGTCTTCATCTTTCTTTGCATATTCACGACTTTTCGGCTTGATGTTTGGCCGTAGAATGCCGATGGAATCAATTGATGGCACTTTTACTTACCAACCATCCAATGCAAAAGTTTTAAGAGTAGACTCACGGAGAATATTTTAAGAGAAGACCCAAGGTTCTTATGGTTCTAGGGCAAACCGTCATTTGATCTGACGTGCTTTATCAACTCAGCTACAGAGTGCATCGATGACCAAGCAAAGTTAAATAGTGCCTTTAAACACAGATGTTTTTCTGACGATCGAAATAGACATATCTGCCCAGTTTCCTATCCTAATGCACCTTAAGCAATTTCTAAATAAAGGGGTGTTTTTTATTTATTCTCGTATTTGAATAGACATTCCTATTACACCATACCAGACTTTTAGTCTTCATGAACTTAGTGAAGTAATACGTTGCTGTCTTGGTGTACAACTGAAGGCCCAAGACGTGACGCATTTTATCTTGACCGTTTTCTAATGCATGGGTGATTTTATTTACTTTGAAGATTTTTTTCTTATTATGAATGTATTATTTCCGCACTTCAGTTTTTTGCTGATCACGCCGACGTCCGATATTTCCTATAAGCCGTTGTCTTTGTCTCTGGTTTTATGCACACCTCAGACAGTACGCAAGAATGCAACCATTATGTTGGAAATTCATTTAGGGTCGTATTCTTTACAGTACAATTCTGATGTTTCTTACCGTTTGTCTTTCCGTAAAAACAGGATATCCCTGAAAATAGGTGGGCATTATTAGCTGAGAGTATCTTCTGAGACTTGCATTTGTTTTTTCATTATTTCTTTTCGCACAGTACAAGGCTTAAGTGCCACTCAAGTTAGAAAATTACTGAATGAGGATGTTGTAAGGTATAGAGAAGAAACAATCATTGCATATTATGATGATGTGCAGGAGAGATAATAGCATAGAGAAGAAACAATCATTGTATATTATGAGGATATGCAGGAGACCCAAGATTTCGAGAAATTGATATTGTAGTGATTAGGGAAGCATGTCCTCGAGAGTCCCTTCTACATAGCAACAGTTCTGGAGACCAATCTCTCTGAGTGTAATTTACTGATTAACTTGCAAAGCAATATGGATGTACTGTCTCCATGTGTGCATGGCATGACGGATGTTAGCTGCGAAAGTCGGAACTGTTCAAGGAATGGTGTTCGCCCAAAACCGAATGGGTAAATGGAAAATTGCTTCGGCATGAAACTCGAAGTTGTGTAATTAATGTAAGATACTATGTATATTTGTTAATATATTCATATATATATATATATATATATATATGTGTGTGTGTGTGTGTGTGTGTGTGTTTGAATATTTAGGCAATTTATTTTTATATGTATAAATTATTTAACCGAACGTTTTTTGAACATATATATATATATATATATATATAAATATATATATAAATCAACAGGAAAATATATATATATATATAATTGGGATATATATATACCACCAGGTATGAAAAATATCAAGCAGACAAACCAAAACGAAGAAAATCAGACTCAAAATAGCGCCGATCATTCCGTGGCGGAACTCTGTTGTTTTAATCACCAAGCCGCGCCAATGGAATTGAAGCCGGATCGCAACGATAAACACATATAATAAGTAGGAGGATTTGATAAACATATAAATAAATTCATTGAGTCTGATAAATATTCAGGAAAATTAAAAATGGACGGCCGTTTCGTCCTATAATTGGGACTTATAATCAGCATACCACCAGGTATCGAATCCCTGACATAAAGGGTTGTCAAGCAGACAAAAACCAACTGTACCAACCGGGCCTCGTCCGAAGAGATTTATCAGACTCAACGATAAATACATATAATAAGTAGGAGGATTTATATATATATATATACAACATAAAACATTTAATCGCATTTTAAGGATTTTTGTTTTGTCAGATTTATATCCATTTATATTTGCTTATCATATATATATATATATATATATATATATATATATATATATATATATATATATATATATATATATATATATATCAGGTATAACACCAAACTTGTCCAATTGTTAGATTTATGTTAGACCCGTTCTATTCTTTCGAAATGTTTAGAGATGTCTAATTGGAATTCTCCGAGGATTTATTACATATATCTAAGACTATTGAATTCTACTTAGAATGTATTTAGCTGTAAGATGAAATGAATGATCCCTCTTCCTGTTTGACCTTCTGATCCATTTTTTCCTTTCCACTGTTCTCTCTTTTTAACCTTATTCTCTGTTCGCTTGATGGTTCTTGACTGGACTTTGAAAATGAAAGTCAGACTATGAATGTTAGCACTGCTACTGAAGGCCTAGATGAACTTTTTCGTTTCAAACTTGCTCAGTTGTGCAGAGAATGGGTCTGACACAAAATGATTTTAACCTGTTATTTATCTGACTGAATAGCTCAAAGGATTTTATCAACGATTCTTTTGACAAATGATATCAAGATGGCAAAACTTCTTATCTGCAAACCTGGAAAAAAGAAAATCAATTAGTTTTTTTTTTTTTTTTTACACATTTTGTGTGAAGAACAATTATGCCATACTGTTACACGATTTGGACAATTTTGCTGTTACACTCGCTACACACACACACACAGACACACACACATATATATATATACGTATATATATATGTATACACTACACTATTTATATATTTCGGACTATTGTCCTCATCAACGTCGCCATATTTATTACAACGTTTCGGCCGTTGTACGCTCAGGCCTTCTTCAGGTGGTTGGAATGTCGAACTGAACCCTTTATTTCGCTCACTGGGGTAGACTCTTCTAGTTCCACTTGCCATGTCTAATGGATGTCAGTTATCAGTTTTCTCCTGTGAATTCCCCTCTCCAAATTCTCCACTGCCTTAAGCAGGTATTGAACTCTCACTGGATCTAACTAATGCCTTTATGCACTGTGCCATATGTTCTTGAGGATATCTGTGTATGAATTTCTGGGTATTATAAACCTAATGTCTTCAGCAAACATTTTTACCAGTGCGTACATTGATTTTTTTTCTGTTATCATTCATGTATTTACCAGAGCTCATATTGCAATTTTTTTTCGTTATTATCGCTTTTCTCTGGCACTCCTTATTACTGATTCACATATTATATTCATTTCTATGCCTGATCGGCTCAAGAGACTTTTGTGACATAGCATATGTGCTGATTCCTTAAGTTTCCGAATTTTCCAATGATGTTCTTTGTCTATGATCTCAACCTGATCCCACAGAGGGCGGTGATATCCCTTTTCTCTCCATATGTGGTCAGCGACGCCTGATTTTTTGACTTAACCTCGTCTTACAGTTTTCTGGTGTTCTTGAAGCCTTACTTTAAGGGAGCGGCCTGTCTCCCCTTTATATTTATGTCCGCAGCTGCACGGGATAGCGTATACACAGTCTTTAGTCATGTTCTCTATGGGAGGTCTAACTCGCGAGAGATATCTGCGAAGTGTCGTCCAGCTTTTAAAGGTTGTCCTGATGTTCTATGGACCGCAAATCCTTTGTATTTTCTCTAATAACCGCTTCACATAAGGCAGCCAGACTTTTTCCTGTTTTGGCGGGATGCTGCCATGTACCCAGGGTAGTTGTAGGGTACTACTTATACTGACCAATTCTTTATCTAATGTCTTTGGGTCACCACTTATGACTTTTGCTCGGTGTCGTAAGCAGCGGAGTATCCCTTTCTTTACGCTGTATGGATGGTGGGAGTTGAAATTGAGGTACTGTCCGGTTGATGCAAAGGATTCAGTTCGAAATTCCAGCCAGCCACCTGAAGAAGGCCGGAGCGTACAACGGCCGAAACGTTATAATAAATATGGCGACAAAGTTGACGACAATAGTCCGAATAATGTAAATAGTGTACATAACGATCTCAGATATATATATATATATATATATATATATATATATATATATATATATATATATATATATTCGCTGTGAATAGGATGGTTAAACAAGTAACGAACTCACTAAATGACGTCCCATTAGCGACTGAATGAAATTCCGAAAAAAATGTCCGTTAACGCCGACGCAATAAGGCCCTCTTTTATTCGTTAGAAAGTTACCTCAAGGATACACAAACTGCTTTTGCAGATCTTTGAAACCGTTTCCTTATTCCCGGAAGGCTTGCAAATTCCAGGACAGAAGCGTTTCGCTAGAAAGCTAACTGGTATAGTAAATTTTACTTGTTTTACGTGTTTTCAGGCTTTTATGTTAAACGTTATTTTTTAGTGGATACTCTTATTTGAGTAAATGTTCCGTTCATTTTATTAAACAGTATATCTATTTATTTTCTTCTATCTGCCTGAATATTCA